TAAAATAAAATAAAGGGGCTGGAGATGTTGCTCAGTGGTAGAGTGCTTACCTAGCATGTTTGAGACCCTGTATTCAATCCTTAGCTGTGCAAAAAAAAAAAAGTAATTTATTTTAGCAGGTCATACAACCTATTTTAAAAAACTAATAATAAGCAACAATCTTATCAGCTAAATAGGAGAATAGTGTTGCCTATATGAATTTAAAAAAAAATTATTTTGTCAGTTCTGGGGACCAAACCCAGAGCCTCATGCATACTGACCACATGCTCTATCATGGAGTTACACCCCCAGCCTGCAGTATGTGTCTGTTTTGTGACTGGCTTATTTCACTTAGAATAATATCCTTCAGGTTTATCCATGTTGTGGTATGTCAGAATTCCTTCTAATAAAGGCTGAATAGTATTCCACTGATAACTCCATTATCAACCACACTTTGTGTATCCATTTATCAGTGGATACACAAGTGTGTTATCACTTGGGTTGCTTCAGGGCCCACTGGAATTTTGAGAATGGCTTCTCATGAACAACTCTCCTGTTCTCATGCCCTAAATTGCCACAGCCCACACCCCTAGACAAGGTCTTTCATCTCATAAAATGAGTCTTAGATTATATGCCCCTGTCACTTCAAGGTACACAGGGGAAGAGCTCATCTTCAGCGTCCACATTTTAAGTTGTCCTTCCTTTTCTTTCTTTCTTTTTTCTTTTTCTTTTCTTTTCTTTTCTTTTTTTTTTTTTTGGTACTGGGGATTAAACCCAGAGGCACTTTACCATTGAGCTGCATCCCCAGCCTTTTTTATTTTTATTATTTTTAAAAATTTTTTAATTTAAAATTTTTTTTAAATTATTAGTTGTTCAAAACATTACAAAGCTCTTGACATATCATATTTCATACATTTGACTCACGCAGATTATGAACTCCCATTTTTACCCAGTATACATATTGCAGATTCACATCGGTTACACATCCACTTTTTTACATACTGCCATACTAGTGTATGTTGTATTCTGCTGCCTTTCCTATCCTCTACTATCCCCCCTCCCCTCCCTTCCCCTCCCATCTTCTCTCTCTACCCCATCTACTGTAATTCATTTCTCTCCCTTGTTTTTTTTTCTTTTCCCCTCACTTCCTCTTATATGTAATTTTGTATAACAATGAGGGTCTCCTTCCTTTACCATGCAATTTCCCTTCTCTCTCCCTTTCCCTCCCCCCTCTCGTCCCTGTTTAATGGTAATCTTCTTCTCATGCTGTTCCTTCCTGCTCTGTTCTTAGTTGCTCTCCTTGTATCAAAGATGACATTTGGCATTTATTTTTTAGGGATTGACTAGCTTCACTTAGCATAATCTGCTCTAGTGCCATCCATTTCTCTGCAAATGCCATGATTTTGTCATTTTTTTTAGTGCTGAGTAGTACTCCATTGTGTATAAATGCCACATTTTTTTTATCCATTCATCTATTGAAGGGCATCTAGGTTGGTTCCACAGTCTTGCTATTGTGAATTGTGCTGCTATGAACATCGTTGTAGCAGTATCCCTATAGTACGCTCTTTTAAGGTCTTTAGGGAATAGTCCAAGAAGGGGAATAGCTGGGTCAAATGGTGGTTCCATTCCCAGCTTTCCAAGGAATCTCCATACTGCTTTCCAAATTGGCCGCACCAATTTGCAGTCCCACCAGCAATGTACAAGTGTACCCTTTTCCCCACATCCTCGCCAGCACTTGTTGTTTGACTTCATAATGGCTGCTAATCTTACTGGAGTGAGATGGTATCTTAGGGTGGTTTTGATTTGCATTTCTCTGACTGCTAGAGATGGTGAGCATTTTTTAATGTACTTGTTGATTGATTGTATTTAATTTTTAAATTTTGAGACCATATCTCACTAAGTTGCTTAGGGCCTCACTATATTTTTGAGGCTGGTTTTCAATTTGCCATCCTCCTGCCTCGGCCTCCTGAGTCCATGGGATTATAGGCATGTGTCACCCAGCTTTCTTTACTTTCTCTTACTCTGTTATGGTCATTGCAGTCTAGCACATATAGTTGCTTTGAGTTAACAATTCAACTTTTGTACTTTGAGACAAGTTAGGAGGTAGCAGCAGTTTAGACAAATCTTACCAGTTTATATAGCAGTAGTTTAAGGCATTGACACAGGGATCATGAGTATGGTGGGTATCAGGAGGATGCACACCCCTGGAACTGTATTAGTTAATTTCTTTGATAAACATGCATCAAGGGGCTGGGGTTATGGCTCAGTGGTAGAGCACTTGCCTAGCATGTGTGAGGCACTGGGTTCGAGTCTCAGCACTGCATATAAATAAATAGAATAAAGGTTCACTGAAAACTAAAAAATATTTTTTAAAAATGCAACAGATACTTTCTATATGTAGGGCTCATATGGGGCTTCATGCTTAGAATACACAGATGAACAAGAAGCCGGGACCTTAGGGCTTACTGGGGAAACAAACAGTAAGAGTTCACGGTGAGGGGCTGGGGGTGTGGCTCAGTGGTAAAGCGCTTGCCTCGCATGTGTGAGGCCCTGAGTTAGATTCTCAGCACCACGTATATAAATGAATAAAGTAAAGGTCCATCAACAACTAAAAAATATATATGTATTAAAAAATATTCCAGAGCTGAGGTTGTGGCTCAGTGGTAGAGCACTAGCCTAGTACATGTGAGACCCTGGGTTCCATCCTCAGCATCACATAAAAAACCAAATAAACAAAATAAAGGTATTGTGCCCAACTATTTAAAAAAAAAATTCCACAGTGTCCTCAGGAGCTAGCTGTACCTGGGCTGAATATATTGCCTGATCAGAAGTGTGCCACAGTATAAAGTAAGCCACGTGCCTGGATGTGATACTTGAATACCTTCAGTATGCCTTTACTGATGGGCCTTTCTCTTTCCTTTTTTTTTTTTGATTCCTTAGTGGAATTCCCGAAAGCTCTGTCTTCCTCCTCATTGCCTGACCAGAGCTGCCCTCAACCTAGGAGGACCTCTCGTTTTGCTCGTTTTGCCCCGCAGGTTTGGGGGCTGGGGCTGTGGCTCAGTGGTAGAGCACTAGCTTTGCATGTGTGAGACACTGGATTCAATTTTCAGCAGCACCGCATATAAATAAATAAGTAAAATAAAGGTCCATAACAACTAAAAAAAAATATTGAAGAAAAACAACTGGGGGGTGCTGGGGTTGTGGCTCAGCAGTAGAGTGCTATCCTCACATGTACGAGACCCTGGGTTCGATCCTCAGCACCACATAAAAATAAATAAGTGAGATAAAGGTATTGTGTCCAGCTACAACTAAAAAAAATAAATATTTAAAAGAAGAAAAAGGTAGAGAGAAAAGGAAGAACATGCTGTCTGTCTTCCCGCTGCAAGGCCCACTCCCTGGCTGACTGTAGTTGTGTTTGTTGTCCAGAATAGGTCCCTCCACACGGGGAGTTGAGTACAAAGGCAAAGAGGCGTTGAGACTCCCAAATTTCAGACTCAGCTAGACCCATGAGCACTTAGAGCCCAGGCAACCTTTGAATATCCAGGCAGGGGTCACCAATTACAGCCAACTGCCTGTTCCCCCACCTGCATAGGTGCTACTGCTGTCCGAGTCTGGGGAGTCCTTAAGAGCATGGATCATGGAGCTGGGGGTGTGACTCCCAGCATCACTAGCTGTGTGAGCTTGGATGAATCACTTCGTCCCTTAGAGACTCAGTTTCCTCATTTGTAAAATGGTGACAACAATAGCATTTCTCTTGTGGGCTTTCTATGAGGATGCACAAGTGCATGTATGTGAAATAATGCATTGAGTGGTCATGGCACACAAGAGTTAGCAGTTGTTCACTCAGTAGGAAACAACAAGGGTTGGGGTATTGCTCAGTGGTAGAGCACTTGTCTAGCATGTCTGAGGCCCTGGATTTGATCACTAACACTGAAAAAAAAGGGGGGGGGGAAATAATATGAAATATACAAGATGAGGGCCAGGGTTGTGGCTCACTGGTAGAGTGCTTGTCTAGCATGCGTGAGGCATTGGCTTCGATCCCTGGCACCACATAAAAATAAATAAATAAATAAATAAAATAAAGTATTGTGTCCATCTACAGCTAAATATATATATATATATATATATATATATATATATATACACACACACACACACACACACACACACACAAGATGAATAAGATACATACCTTAATTAGAAAACCAAAGTTTAACTAGAGAGATCCAATAGCAATAGTCATACTTGTAAAGCATAGGAATATTGAGAAAAATAAGAGATGATTTTGTGCTGCATGGAATTCAGCCAGCGGGAAGAGAGGGCTTCCTGAAAGATAACTAATGGGTAGGTGAAAAGTAAGGCACCTGGATATGGACACACCTGTAATCCCAGTGGTTCGGAAGGCTGAGGCAGGGGGATCATGAGTTTAAAGCCAGCCTCAGCAATGGCGAGGCCCTAAGCAACTCAATAAGACCCTGTCTCTAAATAAAATACAAAATAGGACTGGGGATGTGGTTCAGTGGTCGAGTGCCCCTGAGTTTAATCCCTGGTACAAAAAAAAGAAAAGTAAGGCAGGAATGGGGTATTGTTCATATAACAACATCTAGAATATATCTATCTATCTAAATAAATAAATTAAAAAATATATTTTTAGTTGTATATGGACTTAATTTTATTTTATTTATTTTTATGTGGTGCTGAGGATCGAACCCAGTGCCTTACACATGTTAGGCAAGTGCTCTGCCATTGAGCTATAACCGCATCCCCTTGGTGTACCAATTTTAATGCATGTATGAGTAAAATATTTTCACCCCTCAGAACACAACACTGAGCTGGGGATGAAGCTCAGTTGGTAGAGTGCTTGCCTTACATGCATGCACAAGGCCCTGGGTTCAATTCTCAGCACCACACACACACACACAAAAAAAAAAAAATACAATGCTGCTTTTTCTATTAGATGACATGTTAGCCTGGATGATCCAAAGCCAGCTGATCTTGTGGTGGTATACTTTTCTCCTCAGGGATCATCAATCCAACCTTTGACTTGGGAAGCCTTTCCTGTATCCTGAAGGTATCAGAGGATTGCCGGACAGTGACTGTGTCTCAATTCCGGCAGCCCTATCCTTGGAGTCAAGAGAGGTTTTCAACCAGCCAGGTCTTATGTTCCCAGGCCCTGTCTTCTGGGCGGCATTACTGGGAAGTGGACACGAAGTGCTGCAATAACTGGGCAGTTGGAGTGGCCTCTTGGGGCATGAGCCGAGACCGGATGCTGGGAAGGACTGCAGACTCTTGGTGCATAGAGTGGAAGGGAACTGGCCAGCTGTCTGCATGGACCATGGTCAAAGAAACTGTCCTTGGCTCAGACAGACCTGGGGTGGTGGGCATCTGGCTGGACCTGGAGGAGAGGAAGCTTGCCTTCTATTCAGTGGCCAGTCAGGAGAAGCTTCTGTATGAGTGTGAGATGGCGGCCTCCTCTCCTCTGCACCCTGCCTTCTGGCTCTATGGCCTAACTCCTGGAAACTCCCTGATCATAAATCAAGTACGAGTATAAAGCTTCCTCAGGGGTTAAAACACAGTGGTCTCCTGGCTTCTCTCTCTGCCTTCAAGCAGGTGGCAACTCAACTTAAGAATCCCACTTTTGAAGTTCATCCTTTTGTGTGGTACAGGATTAACAAAGCAGGCTTGAAGTTCTTGAACCCTGCACATTTCAAAGAAAGGACTGGCCTCTGACAGACTCAAGAGAGGGGACCTATAAGCCCTTCAAATATCTTGCCTGGCATGAGTGGCTTGGTTTAAGTGGGGGCTTTGGGCCATGCAGTATCACCTTGACCTCTGCACGGGCTAGAGATTAAGTCAGCCATGTGGGCAGTGAGGCATGCCTATGTGACAGATCCCCAATAAAAGCATTGAATACTGCGGCTTGGGGAACCTTCCCTGATTGGCAGTACTCCAACCACATTGCCACACATCATTGCTGGGAAAATTAAGCAATGTCCTCAGGACCCCACTGGGAGGGGATGGATGATTGGGAATTCTCTTGCTCTGTGTGCCTTTTTCTATTGCTGATTTTATTCTGTGGCCTTTCACTACAGTAAATTGTAACTGGTAATGATTCACTGAATGCAAGGGTGGCCACAGGGACCCCAGAACATAAGGGACATACATTACTTATCAGTCGCTGTGTAATGATATTACTATGGATTTAGTGGTTTAAAACAATTTACATTTATTATCTCACTGTTTCTGTGGGTCAGGAGTCAGCGTCCAGCTTAGCTGAGGCTTCTGCTTCTGAGTCTCTCAAGTTGAAGTTGACATGTCAGCTGGGGCCACAGTGTCACAGGAGGCTCAACCAGGAAAGGATCTGCTCTGGAACTCATGTGGTGGGCAGCATTCAGTTTCTTGTTGTTGAATTGACAGCTGCTATTTCTTGGTGACCGTTGACTGGAGACCACCCTCAGTTCCTTACCCCCTGAGTTTTTGCAACAGAGTTGCTTGCCTCCTCCCAGTCAATAAAGAAGAGAAAGTCTCTTGGCAAGATGGACATGAAGGGCTGGGGTTGTGGCTCAGTGGTAGAGCACTGCCTAGTGCGTGTGACACACTGGGTTTGATCCTCAGGACCACATATAAATAAATAAATAAATAAATAAATAAATAAAATTATATTTTTTAAAAAATAAGGCTTCCTATGCACAGTATTAATTTATATATATAAAAAAGATGGATGTGAAATCTTACACAATAATTACATAAACATATAATGGCACATATCCTATTACCTTTGCCTTATTCTGTTGGATAGAAGCAAGTCATAGATCACACCCACACTTAAAGGGAGGGCATGAAACAAGGGTAAGAACTCCAGAATGTGGGGTGCATGGGAGGCACCTTATAGTCTGTCTGGCATATGTGTCATTTCTTACTTGATTTTTCCTACTTTATTTATTTGTGTATTTATGTATGTATTTATTTATATTTTGCAGTGCTAGAGACTGAACCCAGGGATACTCTATTGCTGAGCTACATTCCCAGCCATTTTTTTTTAAATTTTAATATTTATTTATTTACTTACTTACTTATTTATTTTTAGTTTTCGGCAGACACAACATCTTTTTTTGTATGTGGTGCTAAGGATCGAACCCAGTGCCACACGTATGCCAGTCGAGCGCGCTACCGCTTGAGCCACATCCCCAGCCCCCCAGCCATTTTTTAAAAATTTGAGATAGGGCCTCACTAAATTGCTCAGGCTGGCCTCACATGATCTGCCTGCCTCATCCTTCTGAGACTCTGAGATTATAGACATACACTACCGTACCTGGAAAATTCCCCTATTTTTAAAAATCATTTTATTACATAACAATACAGATACAGAAAACTACCCAAAACACATGTGGGTCTTAAACATCCTGGAAACTACTATTCAGGTCAAGAAATGAAACCTGTTGCCCACCACAGAAGCTCTGTATGTAGCTGGGTGTGGTGGCACATGCCTGTAATCCCAGCAACTCAGGAGGCTGAGGCAGGAGGATCACAAGTTCAAAGACAACCTCAGCAATTTAGCAAGGCCCTAAGCAACTTGGCAAGACCCTGTCTTTAAAAAAAAAGTGGGGGGGCTGGTGATGTGGCTTAGTGGTTAAATACCCCTGGGTTCAGTCCCTGATACCCCCCACCCCAAAAAAGAGAAGAAGCTGTTTTGTCATGTGCCCCACTTCAATCACAACCCCGCAACACCTGAGAGCAGTCCTGACTTTCCCACTAATCATTTCTGTACTTTTCTGTAGAGTTTTATCACCCAAATATGTCTGTAGCCACAAAACTTAGTCTTGCCCCCATTTTCAAAAAACTGGTATGCTTTTGGGCTGGGCTTGTGGTTCAGTGGTAGAGCACTTGCTTAGCATGTGAGGCACTGGGTTTAATAATCAGCACTGCTTATAAATAAATGAATAAAGGTCCATCAACAACTAAAAAAATTATAAATAATTGGTATGCTTTTTAAAAACAGCTTTGTTTTAAAACAAGACCCAACTTACATACTGTAAAATTCACCTATTTAAACAGTATAAACCAGTGCTCTTTAGTGTATTTACAGAGTTGTGAAATCATCAGCATAATCTAATTTTAGAACATTTTAATCACCCCAGAAAGAACTCTTATACCTTTTACTAAGTGATTGGTCCTAAGTCTCCTACTCTACATATCTCCCCTATATCTCTGTCTCCTTTTCTTTTCCTAGCGATTCATCTGCCGAAGGACCCCCAGCTAGATTTGCACCTATTTTGAAGATTTGGAAATTCAACTCTGTTGGGTCAGATTGGGCAGAAAGCATTGGCACACAACTAGCCAGGAAGCCTGGGGTGGTACACTTAACCTCTCTTTGCCTCTGTTTGTCTGTAAGATGGAGGCAGTTACCTTACCTACCCTTACCTTCCTCATAGGACTGCTGAGAAAATTAAATAAAGTAATAGATGAGGAGATCAGAAGACTTTTCTTCGTGCTAGAGGACCATGAAAAGGCTCTCTGGGGCTGGGGCTGGCTCAGTGGTACAGCACTTGCCTAGAATGTGGGAGGCACTGGGTTTGATCCTCAGCCCCAAATAGAAATAAAATAAAGGTATTGTATCCATCTACAGCTAAAAATGATTTTTAAAAGGCTCTCTGCCCTCACTCTTTTTTTTCCCAGTTAATTATCAATCTACTCGTTGACTATTTTGTTATCTCTTTATTTATTGTACTAGAGATTGAACCCAGGGGTACTCTACCATGGAGCCACCTCCCCAGCCCTATTTATTTATTTATTTATTTTTAACAGAGAGAGAGAAAAAAGAGAGAGAATTTTTTAATATTTATTTTTCAATTTTTCGGTGGACACAACATCTTTATTTTATTTTTATGTGGTGCTGAGGATCGAACCCAGCGCCCTGCGCATGCCAGGCGAGCACGTCACCGCTTGAGCCACATCCCCAGCCCCCCTTTTTATTTTTTATTTTGAGACAGAGAGTTTCACTAAATTACTTAGGGCCTTGCTAAGTTGCTGAGGCTGGTCTTAAACTTGCAGTCCTCTAGTCTCAACCTCCTAAGTTGCTGGGATCACAGGTGTACACCAGTCCATCTGGCTTCTCTGTCCTCCCTTTTTGCATTATGGAGCTTTTATTGTTTTACTCACAGTCATCTTGATGTTTACCTTTTGGGTCAAAATTTAGCATTTAGAAGCCAGGGTTCTAATCTCTTGCTGTGATGCCTTTTGTTGAATAGCATGCTTTTAATCAATGTTTGGATAACAAGATCTTTGTGAGGGTGGGGTTTATCTGTTGGTCCTATGATTTCCTCAAACTGGAGCCAAAGTGTAAGAATCACAAGGGGGGGGGGGGCGGAGTGGAGACCGTCGCTTTTGGTTGCCTTGCTTTTGTCTCACTTTTACTGCCTGCACATCCCTTCTGGTACACAGTGGGAAATGACATCCTTCCCTCAATCAAAACATAAAATCTTCCAAAAGAAAAACAAAACAAAACAAAACAAAAACTGAAGCCAAAATGCCAATGGATAAAAGACTTTGCACTTGAGTCTGGTTTTGTGTGAATCAGGAAATTATCCGCCCAAAGCCCAAGCTGGAAAATTTACAGCCAGGACTTTCCTAATCTATGGGGGCAACTGTGTCATAATACCATAGACTGGGTGGCTTACACAACAGGGATTTATTTCTCACAGTCTGGAGGCTGGGAAGTTCAAGGTCAAGATTTAAGGGAGCTCTCTGGGATTTCATTTTTATAAGGATTCTGTCCCCATTATGAGGGCACTATCCTCATGACCTAATCTCTTCCTAAAAAGTCCCACCTCTAATCCCATCACCACATCCTGGGTTAGAAAACCAGTATGTAAATTTTAAGGGAAACAAATATTTAACTTGAGCAGGGACATAAATGCTCACGGAAAGAGCATCAGGGACTCCTGGGATGTTTCTCTCAAAAACATCATTTTTTTTTTCTGTCAAGTCTTGTCTCTCTTAATTGTTTTCTTCCTATGGGGCTAGGGATAATGGAATATCCTGGTCAGTGATGGGGCCTGCCTATATCAGTCTCCACTTCATTTTTCCTGCATCTCAGGTATGCACTTAGCCCCTGGTGAGGCAGCTATTGAACAGCACTGTTATACTCTTTTTCTTTTTTCTTTTGCAGTGCTGGGGATTGAACCCAGAGCCTCATTGATGCATGGAACTGAGCCACATCCCCAGTCCATTATTGTTCTCCTTATTGAGGTCTAGAGCTTTGCTTCTGCTAAGTAGGAAGCCACCATCTTGTTAGTATTGAGGCAACCTGGAATACAGTTATATCTATCTATTCCTTGCTTCTCTTCTCTTGCAGGATTTTTGTTTGTTTGTTTGTTTGTTTTTGTTTGTTTGTTTGTTTGTTTTTGGAAAAGCTAAAATTGAGGACTTTATTTTATAGGTGACTTCAGAAACATACCTCTGAATCAAACAGTGTTGTTTTTCTGGGTAAATTTCTGAAGTCTCTTGCTCTGGTCAAGGGAAAACTCCCTTTTCCAGGGGGATTTGGGACTTTAGGAGACCCCCCCCTTTTTTTGGCATATCCCCAGCTCCATCATCCCTCACTCCTGCCTGAGCCTTTATCCCCAAACTCTAAATTCATCCTCATGCATAATTTCTCAAAATCCTAATCGCTGCATGAATTGTCCTTCCAAAGACCCTGACTTTCTCTGCAATTCTATTTATGTAGTGCTGAAGATTGTTTTGATTTGGGATTTGACTTCCAAATCAGCCACGGGGTTCCAAGAAGCATGAACAACCTGCAGGATTCTTGTCACATCTGCATATCTCCTATGCTATATTTTACTTATCATTTTTTCCTAAATCAACTCACTTTCCCCTCTCTCAAGTACATTTATTTCAAAAGCCTTTGTGTGTGTGTGTGTGTGTGTGTGTGTGTGTGTGGTGTGTGCTGGG